TTAGGGCAAGATGACTCCATCGGGCAGAGACAACATTGTCATCACCTAGGAGATGAAGCCCTCTGATCCTAAGAGGAATCTGGATGGCTCACCATAGTGTCTACTACATTATTCTAGAAGGTTTTCGGCTACTCCACAGAAGCAGTTGACTCGCCTGGCTTGTCCCAGAGTAATACCTCAGGGATAAAGCCACTCTAGTGTTGGTTAATTTGGTGGCTCAACAGCGTATTCAAGAGCCTTTCCATCTTTCTGTTCTGTCAACCCAAGAGGTCTCCTTCTTTTTCTGAACCTTTTTCCTGTGACTATTGCAAGGGTTGTGACTGGAGCAGGTCCAGGAGACTCTTTGAGGAAAAGAGACACCATCTTTCCCTCTGAGCCCGTTCTGCTATCAAGGAAAATGTTGCTTCATCGGTCTCTTTTTTAATTGAGGTAAAATATACACAACATAATATTTATTATTTTAACCACTCATAAGTGTATAATTCTGTAGACTTAAGTATATTCACAGTGTTGTACGCGGGCTTCCCAGGTGGCGATAGTGGTAAAGAATCCGCCTGCCGATGCAGAAGACCCAGGTTCAATCCCTGAGTCTGGAAGATCCCCTGGAGAAGGGCGTGGCAACCCACTCCAGTAGAATCCCCATGCCTATAGAATCCCCATGGACAGAGGAGCCTGGTGGGCTACAGTCCATGGAGTCACAAAGAGTAGGACATGACTGAAGTGACTTAGCACATAGCACAGTGTTGTATACCTATCCTCACTTTTATACTCAAATCTTTTTCATCACTCTCAAAACAAAACAAAAAACCCTATACCTATGAAGCAATAGGTATTGCTTTTTCTTTTTTCTTCCTTCCCAGTTCCTAGTGACCTTTATTCTACTTTCTCTCTCTATGAATCTGCCTTTTCTAGGTTCCTTATATAGGTGGAATTGTAACCATATTGTCTTTCTGTGCCTGGTTTCTTTCATGTTTTCGTTTCATCCATGTTGTGACTTGTATCAAAAGTTTGTTCCTTTTTACGTCTGAATAGTATTCCATAGTATGGATGGACAGCATTTTGTTTATCCATTCATCTACTAATGGACACTTCGATTGTTTCCACCTTTTGGCTATTGTTAATAATGTTTCTATGAACACTGGTGCTCAAATGCCTGTTCAATTCCTTGCTTTCCAACTTTCTGAATAGATATGTAGATGTGGAATTGCTGGGTCATATGTTAATTTGATATTTAACCTTTTGAGAAACATTTAATTTTTGCAGCAGCAGCCTCACTACTTTCCATTCCCATCAGTGATGCATAAGGTTTCCAGTTTCTCTACGTCATTATTAACAATTGTTATTTCCCTTTCAAAAGTTATAATTATCCTTTCTCTCTGAGAAGTACAATAACCTGGGGCATTCTGCCTCATCCAAGGGGGATATAGAAATCCCCTGAGGAGGAAGAACTGTTAGACTGAAGCCGAAGCCAGTGGGGGCAGTCAAACCAGAGACGGTGGATTCCATAGGGTGGGGGCAAAGCAAGAAAGTCTTGGCAAGGGCCAGGCTTCTCCCCGGGGACCCACAGCCCCTCTGCACCACAGCACCGCGCCCTCATTGACAGAGTGTGTCCATCCTGAGTCCATGGCGAGGAGTAAATGAGAGAAAGCCTATGGCACGCTTAGCCCAGCATCCAGCACAGAGTCAGCTGCCAATACGTGATTTCTGTCTCCTTTCCAAGAGCAAAATGAGGGTCCCAGACTGTGGCTCAGAACAGGACTAGGGGGACTTCCCTGGCGATCTAGTGGTTTAAGAACCCAACTTGCAATGCAGGGAACATGGGTTTGATCCCTAGTTGGGGGACGAAGATCCCACATGCCATGGGGCAACTAAGCCCTGACACCGCAAAAGGAAGGAAGGAAGCAGCTGCATTTTAAAAAAGAACAGGACTTGGAGAGGCTCCTTTCAGAGGTACTGGATTGTAACCCAGAGTGGAGGGATGGAAGGAGCCGCCTGAGTTGCAGGATGCCCTGCGGACAACATTCAGCTGCTTCCTGTCCTTCCCAGAGGCGTCCAAGACAAGCAGCCACCACAGACCATCATCTCTGGGCTTCCTGTCAGAGCCCCCGCCTCCTCACACACTCCCACAAGCTCCCAGGACCCTTGGCCATGGCCTGCGTGCTTCTTGCAGATCCCCTCTTCGGCGGATGCTCTCACCCCAGCTGCTGTCCTTTCGGGAGAGTTGCCCTTGTGCACAGATTCACCCAGCCCAGGAGACACCCTGAGGCCAGGGGCTGGATGATGCAGCGGTACCTTTCTATCCGGGAAAGGAGCTCTGAAAGAGTCACCCGGCTCCACGGGATCTGCCAAGTCTCACTGTGCATGAGCTTCTCCCTGGGCCCATCCTGCCTTCCTCGCTTCAAGCATCTCCCCAAAAGCCTTCTGCATCGGACTCTGGGAGCCCAGACTCAGACCAGCAATCTCTTCTTCACTGTGTGTGGTCTTTGCCTCTCCAACTACAGCCACTCATCTGACCTCCCAGGCACCCTCCTTCCACTAAAATGCAGTCATATATTATGCCGAAATGGGTGCTGATAGGTTACTGTGCATGCGTGATAAGTCTCTTCAGTCACGTCCAACTCTGCAAACCTATGGACTGCAGCCCACCAGGCTCCCCCGTCCCTGGGATTCTCCAGGCAAGAACACTGGAGTGGGTTGCCATTTCCTTCTCCAGTGCATGAAAGTGAAAAGTGAAAGTGAAGTCGCTCAGTCATGTCCGACTCTTCGCAACCCCATGGACTGCAGCCCACCAGGCTCCTCTGCCCATGGGATTTTCCAGGCAAGAGGACTGGAGTGGGGTGCCATTGCCTTCTCTGTACGTGCAGCTAGCAATCTGCAAAACCTACATGATTTTGTTTGCAAAGCAGAATAACCTGATAGTCTCTGAAGTGGTTCTGCCTGGATTTGAATCTTGGTCCTACTACTTATTAGCCTTGTGACCTTGACCTTTAAAATGTTCAATTTTCCCGTCTGTAAAATGAGGATACTACTGGTCCTCTCCTCCTAAATTTTTGTTAGAGTTAAATGAACCTGTACATGGGTGGGTCTCAGAATAGCCACGGCACATAGTAAGCACATAGTATCCACTAGGTGTTAGCGTTTTTCAAATTGGAGGATAACTGCCTTACAGTGTTGGGTTGGTCTCTGCTGGAGAGCAGAGTGGATCAGCTGTGTGTACACATAGATCCCGTCCCTCCTGAACCTCCTTCCCATCTCACTCCCATCCCATCCCCCTAGGTCATCACAGAGCCCCGGGCTGAGCTCCCCATGCTGGCGTTAGTATTTGCTCCTCACAAGCACCCCATGTGGTATTGTAATTCCTGCCTGTCTGTGTTGGACACCTCTGGTGCCCACCTCATACTCCCAAACCCGCCTTTTCACTCCAGCTGTGCCTGCAGCTGCCTGGGGCACAAGTGTAACTTGCCAGCAACGTGCCCAGCCACACTGCCTACTTCCTGCCCTGGCCTCTCTGCCACCCCCACCTGAGATGCCCGTGACTACCCTCAGCCATTCTGACCCGAGCAAACCTGGAAGTGTGAGAGAGCTGACATTCCACGTGGACCCCTTGACCAAGGAGGAACTGGAACCGACGGGAAAATAGTCCCCTTTTCATTCCTGGAGAGAAGAGTTCTGAGCTCTCATGCATCCCATGGAGGTCCCGCAGCGGTGGGCACCCACAGCTTGACTCTTCCCTCCTTTCACTTCCCTCTTCCCAGCTACCCCCTCCTGTTACTCGAGGTCACTTCCTCAAATAAACTACCTACATACAAGCCCTTGCCTCATGCTCTGTTGGGGGAACTATCTCACTGTGTACACAAAGAGTGAAAGAACAAAGAGAGGCTTGTTTTCCGTGAAGAATCAGACCTGGACTCAAGTCAGATTTCTTCCACCTCCCACATCTCATTTCCTCAAGCTGTGCCCTGTCCCGGCTCATACATGCGCCTTTTAACGGAGGCCTCCCACGAGCTGGGTCAGCAGAAGGAAAACCGAGGAGAAAGCAGTTATGAACAGGCAGCTTTGTTTTGTTTTGCTGTTTTGGAGTGGGGCAGGCGTTGGTTTATTTTTTAGCCAAACTGCACAGCATGTGGGATCTTAGTTCCCTGACCAAGGATCGAACCTGTGGCTCCTGCAGTGGAAGCGTGGAGTCTTAACCACTGGGCCTCCAGGGAAGTTCTGGAACAGGCAGCTTTGGACATTTTCATTTCACAGCCCCTTGATGTCCCTGCTAAGAGCCTGTCCCACACAGCCAAAGGTTTCACATGACTGGAGCAGGGACTCTTGTCAAAGTTGTCTTGGTACCACTAGCCCTTGGGGCCTGGTATACAGGAGGTGCTCAGGAAACACTTGCTGGGTACACAAGTCCAGCAATCAAACTATTGATGGTTTATTTTTAATCTTTGCTTTATACATGGCCCTGCTTGTTCCTATATTGTTTATTTTTTTGCTGGTTTGGAATGTAATTGCGGATGGACAGAGAACATTTAAGGAAGGGTTCTTTACCTTTTTTCCAAGCTACATTAAAACAGATTCACATGCCTGCAAGGTATTCAAAGAATATTGGATATTTCTTGAAATTATGGTTAAATAAAATTTAAAAAGACTGTTGGGTTGACCGACTGATGAAAGAAATTGAAGCCATCACACTGCATCTTGTAGGACACATGTAGCTCTGAGATGCATGCGTTTTACCTGTATCAATTGTTTAACACTTGAAATTCTGAAGTTTGCCGCAGGTCCTACCACTTCATATAACTTCTGCCTGCCCTAATTCTCAAGTTGGTGTTATCTGCCTAGCCTTGGTAGGTGGATGGGTTTGTGACCCCCGTACAGAGACACACAACAGGGTCCAAGAGCTGACGGAGCTGACTGGCATCATTCCTGACTCCCCTGCAGCTTGCTCACCACCGCCCCACCACCATCAACAGGTGCCCCGTGACAGCGTGGCCTCCTGCTCTTTCCAGGTACTACAAGATCACCGTGGTGCTCATGTGCTTCGTGGTCCCCACGCTGGTGCCCTGGTACATCTGGGGGGAGAGCCTGTGGAACTCCTACTTCCTGGCCTCCATCCTCCGCTACACCATCTCACTCAACGTCACCTGGCTGGTCAACAGCGTCGCCCACATGTACGGAAACCGGCCCTATGACAAGCACATCAGTCCTCGGCAGAACCCGCTCGTCACCCTGGGCGCCATCGGTGAGTGTCAGGTGGGAACCCCTGGGGACAGTGGGTGTGTGGACCTTCTTGGCTTCTCGGGGGTTTTGCTGGACACGTCAAGGGAGGCAAGGGAGTGGAGAGGGCTGGAATGGACTTGGGCTTTGGTGTTAGAATCCTGGCTCTTGGACAAGCCTCTTACTCTCTAGTTTATAGCTCTCTTATTTGTGAAATGGAAACAGGAATACGTGCTTCGTAAGGGTGTTACGGGTTCAATTCCTGGGTTGGGAAGATCCCATGGAGAAGGAAATGGTAACCCACTCCAGTATTCTTGCCTGGGGAATTCCATGGATGGAGGAGCCTGGCGGGCTACAGTCCATGGGGTTGCAAAGAGTCGGACCCAACTGAGTGACTCACACTTCACTTTCAAGGGTGTTACAATAATTAAATAAGATACTATATATCATCTGCTTAGTATGGTGCCTGGCACATAGTAGGTAATCAGTAATTAGCAGCCATTTATTTTAACACTGGCCATTTCCCTAAAGGAGGAGTAGCAGTTGATGTCACTCTCAAACTGCCTGACCGCTCTTAGCCTCAGCTGTCCAACATTTGGCTGACTATTTAAAAAGGGCCCTCAAACAGAGGGATGGAGAGAAATGGGACCTTGACAATCTCGTGAGACTGCAGAATGGTTAAGAGTCAGTCTGACAGGCTTAGTTGAGGCTTGGTTCCTCTGCTCAATCTCCAGGCAAGTTATCTGGCTCCTCCCACCTCGTGTTCTTATCTAAAGTGGGGACAAGAGTAGCGTTGACCTTCACCCTGGGCCACCAGAGGGTTAGAAGAGTTAATACCTAGTGTTTGCAGCAGTGCTCAGCAGGAAACAAGCCTTCAGGGATGTTGTTTTCCTTACTAGCTTAATGGTCTCAGGCAAATTACTTGTCCCTTCTATGCACTTCCATCCTCATTTTAAAATAGGGTTAATCATAGCAGCTAGCTCAGTGATAATGAGGATTATAATCATTAATACCCTTTGAAGAATTCAGCCCTGTGACTGGCACACAGTAAGTGATTAATAAATGTTACTGGGACTTCCCTGGTGGCTCAACTGGTAAAGAATCCACCTGCAATGCAGGAGACCACTCCGGCAGTGCCGGAGTTCGATTCCTGGATCGGGAAGATCCCCTGGAGAAGGGGTAGGCTACACACTCCAGTATCCTTTGGCTTCCCTGCTGGCTTCGTTTGCAAAGAATCCACCCACAGTGTGGGAGACCTGGGTTCGGTCCCTGGGTCGGGAAGATCCTCTGGAAGAGGGCATGGCAACCCACTCCAGTATTCTTACCTGGGAAATCCCACGGACAGAGGAGCCTGACGGGCTATGGTCGTGGGGTCACAAAGAGTCAGAGACGATGTATATATATATACACATGGTAGTTTAGTTGCTAAGTTGTCTCCAACTCTTAGCTCCTCTGTCTGTGGAATTTCCCAGGCAGGGATACTGGAATATATATATGCAATTATATATATAATATTGCTTATAATAAGTCTCTTTCTACCTAAATATTGGGTATATTCTGTAAGATCATATGGAAACCTGACTGAACTTTTTGGCCAACCCAATATATATCCATATAGAAACAGTAGGATCTCTATATCTATATAAAGGTAGATGTATTCTGTTTCTGTATGTGTATGTTTACGGGAACAGGGCGGGGGAAGGAGGAGAGATTTATGATGAGGAACTGGCTGGTGAGGTGACGGAGGCTGAGTCCCACCGTCTGCCATCTGCAAGCGCGAGACCCTGGAAAGCCAGTTTATAATGAAATCTGAGTACAAAGGCCTGAGAACTGGCTTCCCTGGTGGCTTAGACGGTAAAGTGTCTGCCTGCAATGTGGGAGGCCCAGGTTCAATCCCTGGGTTGGGAAGATCCCCTGGAGAAGGAGATGGCAACCCACTCCAGTACTCTTGCTTGGAAAATTCCATGGACTGAGGAGCCTGGTGGGCTACAGTCCATGGGGTCACAAAGAGTCGGACACGACTGAGCGACTTCACTTTCACTTTTCACAAAGGCCTGAGAACTAGGGGAGCTGATGATGCAGATCCCAGCCTGAGGGCAGGAGAAGATGAAATAGACATTCAGTCAGTGTGTCTGGAAAACGGGGGTCAGTTCCTCCTTCCTCCCGGCCCTTAAGGGACTGGCGGATGCCCACTCACATGGAGGAGGACCATCTGCTTTACTGACTCCACTGCTTCAAATGCTAATCTCATCCAGAAACACCTTCACAGACACCCAGAAATAAGGGTTAATCTGCGCACTCCTTGGCCGGTCAGATTAACATGTAAAATTAACCATCACAGAGAAAGAAAGTAGGACTGGAAGGATGGGGGGATAGATGGGGCTCAACATCCATCCATCCTTGGGGAGAGGAGTTTCTTTTTAGGTAGTGAAAATGTTATAAAGTTCGTTGTGGGGATGCCTGCACAACTCTGCGAATATACTGAAAGCCATTAACTTGGATACTTTAAATGGGTGAATTGTATGGTGAATTACATCTCAATAAAGCTGTTTGAAAAAAATGAAAAAAGATGTGAGACTCCTCCTGAAAACACCCTGGGGGAGGGGCAGTAAGGGAGGAAAACTTACTGTGAAGGGAAGAGTAATATCTAGGCAGATTTTGGATATTTAAAGATCCAACTCCTTAATTCACTTGCTTATAGGGTCGATTATCATTTATCTCTTCCGAGCTCTCCCAAGAAGTCTTCCTTTAATCCTTTTAGTCGACTGAGGCTATTTTTCTTTTATGAACATACATCAAAATGATGATCTGTTATCAGCCATTTGGCATTTAGCTTCCAAAGTACAGCTCTAAAGTCATGGGAGCATGTCACCAGTTCACAGGGAAAATTCATCTTGAGACTTTATGCTGATAACTTTATTATTATTTTTCTGTTCCTATCATTTGTCTAGCCAATTCAGTGAACGCTCCCGAAGGGCAGACAGCAAGTACAGTAAGTCCCCTACATACAAACACGTTCTGTTCCGAGAGCAAGTTCGGAAGTCCAGTTTGTTCAGAAGTCCAACAAAGTTAGCCTAGGTAGCCAGCTAACACAATTGGCTATATAGTACTGAACTGTAATAGGTTAATAATACTTTTCACATAGATAATACATACATAAAAAGCAAACACAAAAAATAAAGCATCTCTAATCTTACAGTCCAGTACTTTGAAATGTATGCACAGTACAACAGATGGCATACAACACATCTTTGCAGGTTTGTACACAGGGGACCTTCTATAGGTTTTCTGTACCCCATGGAACCTAACACAGTGTCTTGCAATCTCGTGGCTTTAAAAACTCTGCAGAGAGGTGCTGACAGTGTTATTTCAAGCCTACTTTGTCTTCCAGGTGAAGGTTTCCATAACTACCATCACACCTTTCCCTTTGACTACTCTGCGAGTGAATTTGGCTTAAATTTCAACCCAACCACCTGGTTCATTGACTTCATGTGTTGGCTGGGGCTAGCCACTGACCGCAAACGGGCAACCAAGCAGATGATCGAGGCCCGGAAAGCCCGGACTGGAGACGGTAGCGCCTGACTCTGGACCCTCCATCCGCGCCCGCTGTCAACGACGCCTCGGTTCATGGCCTTTGTTACCACACTTCTCTTGTTCATTGGATCGTGGGAGGGGGCGCAAGCTGGGGAGAGAACAGAATCCACACAGTTTGGGGATTTTTTTCGTTGGTCTCAAAATAATGTCAAGATACAAACTATCAACGAAAAGAATTTTTTAAAAGTCAGTGTAACTACGCTTTAACACTAGAACGCAGACATGTGATTTAATCGCTATAGCTACAACATGTCATTCAAACATACATCGTCATGTGCTTGTACTTGTACGTGATGTTAACCCTGACAGGATGAAGGAATTTCATATTCTTTCAGTGTGATTCAGGAGAGCCTTTGTTTTCTCTTTCTGTTTTAAACCCAACCTTATTTTTAAACAGACTATCTGAAGGAGCAGAGAGGCAGGGTAGAAGGCAAAAGAGAGGGTCTAAGTAGTAACGAAAGAATGTTTCTGCTTTGTAATGATCGTGTGTGTTTGTTGTTGTTTTAAAGTAAGAAAATTGAAAATGTTAAAAAATGAAAATACAGGAAATGGCTCTCTTATTTTGTTGCCCTGTTTCCAGCTTGTTAATGTTCCACTTTCTTTGCTTCAAGGGGTCTGTTCACGGCTCAGCTGGTTTTGTGTCCTGAGCTGTCCGTCCATCTGAGCCTATAAATCAGTGCCTGTTTTAAGTGTTTGATTTTGTTCTCTTTGCTATTGTCATTTTAAGGTGTAGAACTCAGAAGTGCCAGACATCAAATGAAGCTCAAATGAAGCTCTCATTTAAATGTTTAGACACCTAATTTATATTCTAATTGATCCTAGCCACTGATGCATGTACTTTACCTACTCCTGCTAAATAAGCCTATTAATTTTCCATACCAGGTCATCAGATCTGAATAACCAACAGTTATCTAGAACTCAGTGTCTACAAATGTTTCACCTGCATGCAGCCTTCATTGATTTTGCAGCAAGACATAAAGTGATCATTATGTAGCCTCTGGATTAAAAAAAAAAAAATCTGTGTGTTAAGTTGCCTTGTAAAGAGCATGTCGAATTAATGGGACAGCGTGCCCTTTGTGTTAGATGTTAGAGCAAAAGAGAGCCTTATAGTTTGGCATCAGAGCACTTCGAAGATAGTGCTGCAAAGATAGGGAAGATGTAGGATTTAAATTTAGATTTTTGAAAAGAAGTGACGCCGGTAGGGAGTTGTCATAATAAAGTTCTTCATCCAGCAGGTGTTTAACGGTGTTATTTTTGCCATTAATAATGTGTAAACTATGAGTGATTCACAATAAATGATTATGAATTCATTGGTGTTCCTGTCCTGATACTTAAACCCTGTTTGAATGTCCCTCAAGGGTGCCTTATGCTTTATGATGACCACATAATGCACATTTGATTTGGGCTCTGGGCTAACAACAGCCCCTAAGACGGGACCTCTCCTATCCCATCTTACGCACAGCCAGAGGGAAAATCAGCAGGTTTTATTTGGACTGTAGAGCTTAGAGCAGCAGTCCCCAACCTTTAGCACCAGGGACTGGTTTTGTGAAAGACAGTTTTTTCACAGACTTGGGGTGTGTGTGTTGTGGGGGTGGTTTCGGAATGATTCAAGTGCATTGCATTTATTGTGCACTTTATTGCATCAGCTCTACCTCGGTCATCAGACATTAGATCCCAGAGGTTGGGGACCCCTGCTGCCCCAGTGGTGTCATTTCTCACTCACCAACACCTTCGCTTGTACTGCTTCGAGCTGACACATGGGAACCCAGCTCCTACATGTCATGAAAACATGATGAAGCATCCCTTCCTCCCCACAGCCCTGCCAGGCCCCCCAGGGGTGACCCGAGGTGGGCAGACAGACTCAACTCTCGCTCCAGCCCTGCCTCTCAGCTCTGCCCCGCACCATGCTCCTCACTCTCTGCCCATCTTTTGCCCCAAAGCAGGGCCCTGGCCATCAGTTGTCAACGTCCTAGCCTGCCTGCAGTTGAGTGGGAGGCCAACCCTTGGTGGGGGCCAGACCAGACTTCATTCATTCATTCGTAAGGACTCTTACAAGGCATTGTTCAGCTGCTTTGTACCCCAACCATATGTTGCTAAGACCTTGTATGTAGTGTTGGTAGAGTGTAAATATAGTCCAAGACGAATCTATAGCCACCTGAACTAAAATGACCCTGATTGGCCATATCTCTGTGAACTTTTGACCCCTCAAAGTACTAAACTTATTTGCTTGTCCATTAATAGAAAAGATTACACCTGGAATCTTTGTAATCTCCTCATGAAAGGAGGCTGTTTTACAGCTAATCCAAGCAAATCCAGAACCTCTGGATTTACACTCCTCTGAACTTGAGTGCCATATTTTTTTTTTTTAATCTATTTTGGTTGTGCTACATGGAATGTGGGATCTTAGTTCCCCAACCAGGGATCGAACCTGTGCCCCTGTATTGGAAGCAAGAAGTCTTAACTGCTGAACCCCTGGGGAAGTCCTGGGTGCCACATCTTTACCCAGGAATGAGATAAGAACTGCAATGGTTTTTTTTCTTTTCTTTTTTAATCAACCCCAAATTACACATTTTATTATTTTTTTATTAGAGGATAATTGCCTTACAACATTGTGTTAGTTTCAGCTGTACTAGGAAGCGACTCAGTTATATGTAGTATACGTAGCCCCTCCCTCTTAGATCTCCCTCCTACCTACCCCCGTTCCACCCTTCTGGCCATCACGGAGCGCCAAGCTGAGTTCCCCATGCCGCACAGAAGCTTCCCACTAGCTGTCTGCTTTACACACGGTAGTGTATATATGTCAGTTCTACCCTCCCAATTCATCCCACCCTCCCCTTCTCCCTACCACTCAAGGACTGTTGATGGAGTGGATGAAGGTTAGAGCACGCCAGAGTCCTCATACTCACCTTCCCTGCAGGTCTCCGCAGCATCTAAGGATGCAGTTTTCTCATCTGTAAAGAGAAGGGGTGAAATCAGACTCTGTCTCAGGTCCCACCCAGCCCTAACACTTACTGGCAGCAGCAGAGACAGGAATATGCCTGCGTTCAGATTGCAAACACCTCTCAAGCCTTTCTAGAACCTAGGAGGTCAAAACTGAGGGGAAATAATCGAGTCTGAGTGGGAAACCACAGACTGAGGCCGAAAGGAAAGAATGCTCTCGGTAAAAATAAAAAAGTGTGTGTCTCATTTATTCCCAACATATAGTGAAGCAGTAAAAATAAGTATAACCCATGAAAAATAATAAAGTACTGCCAAAGACTCCAGCCTAATAGAGTAGCAGAAATAGCACTGGACTCAGAGACCAGAAGTGGGATTCCCACTTAGACGGTAAAAAATCTGCCTGTAATGCAGGAGGCCGAGGTTCAATCCCTGGGTCGGGAAGAGCCCCTGGAGAAGGAAATGACAACCCACTCCAGTATTCTTGCTGGAGAATTCCATGGAAAGAGGAGCCTAGCAGACTACAATTCATGGAGTTGCAAAGAGTCAGGCATGACTGAGCAACTAAGACTTTCACTTTCAGAGACCTGAGCTTGAATTCACTTTTTTTTTTTCCCCAACTGAGATGAAACTGACATAAAACATATCAGTTTCAGGTGTAGAACACTGTGATTTGATATTTGTATGTACTGCAGAATGACCGCCATAGTAAGTCTAGTTAACAACCGTTACCACACATAGTTAAATAATGTGTTTCTTGTGATGAGAATTTTAAAGATCTCCCCTTACAAACTTTCAAATATACAATCAGTCAGTCAGTTCGGTTGCTCAGTCGTGTCTGACTCTTTGTGACCCCCATGTACTGCAGCACGCCAGGCCTCCCTGTCCATCACCTACTCCCAGAGTTTGCTCAAACTCATGTCCTTTGAGTCGGTGATGCCATCCAACCATCTCATCCTCTGTCGTCCCCTTCTCCTCCCGCCATCAGTCTTTCCCAGCATCAGAGTCTTTTCAAATGAGTCAGCTCTTCGCATCAGGTGGCTAAAGTATTGGAGTTTCCGTTTCAGCATCAGTCCTTCCAATGAATATTCAGGACTGATCTCCTTTAGGATGGACTGGTTGGATACAGTGTTATTAACTCTGTCAGGAAGAGTTGGGCGTGACTGAAGCGACTTAGCACACACCCACGTGAGGGGTTACTAATCCCCAGAGCCGCTCTGACCCTGAGTCCTCATCTGCAGAAAAAGAGTAATACTATGTATCAGAGAAACCCCAGAGGCCTGGAGCATAGGGCCTGGTGCTTCCTAGACCATCAAGGAAACAGTCACCCCGGGTGAGTGCTTGTCTTGAGAAGGAAGCTGAGATGTAGTCAAATAACCACAGACCAGAAGTGAGGAGGACTAACTTCCAGCTCTTGTTCTGCTCCTAACTAGCTGGATGGTAAAAGGCAGCAGAATATGCCCAAAGGAGCCAGTTTGACATAAGATTATTTTGAGTTAGAGATACTGTAAAAACAGCAAATGCAAGAAGGCGCCCTGACTTCCTTTTTCCTTCTTAAAAGCAGAAGACAAAACTCCCTTGTGAAAGATGCGCTCTCTGTACCAAGAAGAAAGAAATGTTCTTATCTCCACAGACAGGGAGAAGGTGCCAAGAGAAATGAGTACAAACACACCTTGTTCAAACAGCCCTTATCTTCTTTGAGCAGCCCCGTATACTTTAGTTACCTTTCCACAATTACCACTCTCTGTTCAACCTAGTGCTGTGCCGAGTCGCTCTGTTGTGTCCCACTCTTTGGACCATAGCCCACCAGGCTCCTCTGTCCATGGGGATTCTCCAGGCAAGATTACTAGAGTGGGTTGCCATGCCCTCCTCCAGGGTATCTTCACAACGCAGGGACCGAACCCAGGTCTCCCGCATTGCAGACGAATTCTTTACCATCTGAGCAACCAGGGAAACTAGTTCGACCTAGTATATGAGCACTTAGACCCAATCATTTTGGGGGTCTTTTTTAAAAATTTATTTATTGAAGTATAGTTGATTTACAATGTTGTGCCAATCTCCATTGTACAGTATATTGACAGCAACACACATATACATTCTTTTTAAAATATCTTTTCCATCATGTCTATCCCAGGTGATTGGATATAGCCCCCTGTGCTATACTGTAGGACCTCGTTGTTTATCCACTTAGAATGGGGGGTGGGGGTATTCATTTTTTCTGTGAAGGTTCCCAAGTCCATGTAACAATAAAATCTGTATGCTTTTCTCCTGCGAATCCATCTTTGTTTTTCAGTTTCTTAAGTCATATCTGACTCTGTGCGACCCCAAGATTGCAGCACATGGCTTGGCCAGGTGGCACAGTTGGTAAAGAATCTGCCTGCCAATGCAGGAGACATAACAGACACAGGTTCGATTCCTGGGTTAGGAATATCCCCTAGAGAAAGAAATGGCAACCCACTCCAGTATTCTTGCCTGGAAAATCCCTTGGACAGAGTGACCTGGCGGTCAAACACGACTGAGCACACATGCACGAACTGCTGCACACCAGACTCGTCCTCCATGATCTCCCAGAGTTTGCTCAAATTCATGTCCATCGATCCATGTTCAAGGAGATGCCATCCAAATATCTCATCCTCTGTCGCCCCATCTCCTCTTGCCCTCAATCTTTCCCAGGATCAGGGTCTTTTCCAACGAGTCGGCGCTTTGCATCAGGTGGCTAAAGTATTGGAGCTTCAGCTTCTGCATCAGTCCTTCCGATGAATATTCAGGGTCGATTTCCTTTAGGATTGATTGGTTTGACCTCCTTGCTGTCCAAGGGACTCTCAAGAGTCTTCTCCAGCACCACAATCCATCTTATGTCAACTTAACTCTGCCTTGACAGTAAGAGGGTAAGAGAAAAGTTTTGCCTTCCCTGCAATTCTAACCTCTCAGTGCTTCTGTGTCCACTCCCCTCGCTCCCCAAACCGACTGGATTGGGTTTCTGGGTTATCCTTGGTTTATCCCGTCCATCTCTGTAAGTCTGTCCTCTCTGCAGATAGAAGGCCCCACAGGCTGGCTCTGTCCAGCCCCAAGCGGTTCCCTCTGTACCTCTGCCTTCCTTCCTGAGCCTTTACACTCCCATCAGAGGACAGATCTGGCTTGCAATGTCCTTTATGCTTCTGTAGCTCATTTTTCTCCTCATCAGGAGCTGGGATAGACTTGTGCAGGGGAGAGGTTGAAGCTAATGGAGAAGAATGAGCTTGGGGATTACCTGGGAGGTTCATTTATCCATTTCAATCCTGTCCCCAATTACACAGGAGACTGAAAGCCAGTTGTGTTCTCCGTGCTGGCTCATGTGAAAAACAGGGAAGAAAGAAACCTTATAATCTTTTTT